CTGTAGCAGGCTAAGATCAAGGCACTTCATACCCTTCATGTGCGTATTTGTCAGCAGAAATGAGAGTTTGTATCTTGAAATGAACTGAGAATAAGAACTTCAGGGTAATTAAATCTGAACTCACTGCACAATGACTTACTAAGATTTATAATGGATTTTAAACTGTTGAAGCCCTTCAACATAGCATATAAAAAAGCCTGATTCTTTTGAGTATTAAATTGCTGTAAATGCTGGAGTGACATGACTATTGGCAAACGTTCTAGATGCCATCTATTTTGTATAGAGTAAACCAAACCATCCAGGAAAGATTCTATGTACTGTAGTCCAATGTATTTCTCTTACACTACTTGTAATCTATGCCATTATAAAAAGATTTAAAATGCTGTGTGTATATGACCCTTTCTTGGCTTTTCTGCAGGAATGGAAGTTTAAGAGAGTATATAAGGGTTTTGCTGGCAGCCATCATTAGATGTATGGGATCATCTTTCCCCCTTTGATACAATTAATCTTTTCTAAATGGTCAAAACCTTTTCTCCTTTCTTCTTTATTACAGTAGTGAGGTTCTGACTTAATTCTAACAAGCTGTCTCTAGTACTTTAGAAGTTGAAAAATGAGAACCTCATCTTGCATAATTGTCTTGTGCTGCATTCTGGATGAAGCTACACCTGTTGCTGCAAGCTACAAGTTCTGCTTCAGGCTCTGTTCTTCTTCAACCAGAATTTCAGTGGTGCACAGTAACATGGTTCAAACCTTTCCTGGAAGGAAACTGCTGCTTTGGAAATGGAAGTAAGTGGTAAAAGTCTCTACATAGATTTTCTTGGATGTAAGTCAATAAAACATGGAATTAGTTTTAGTGCAGTGACACATGAAATGAAATCCAAGTTTCTCAAGTTGGCAGCACTCTATAACCAGCACGTTAAGCCCCTATGAAGGATGTGCCTTACATCATTCTTTGATTATCCTACCCAAAGCAGAAGCTGTTCTCATCATCTTCAGAAATTTGATTTGTATGTAATTATGTAAATGGCATTGAAATAGACAGAATAGTAAAGACGAAATACATCTCTTGGCATCTGATGACTGCTTACCCCAGGGAAAAAAAAAAGAAAAAAAACCAAAAGGAAATGCTAAGTTTGTAAAAGGCTACAGTATGGTTAGAGGAAAAATAGCAAATATTAAAACTACAGAACTGTTCTTTGGGAAAACAAATGCAGTTTGCCAAAGATCGCGTCATCTCAAAGTGATTATGTAATGATTTAAACTTGCCAAAGTTTCCCTTACCATGATGAATTTCATAATCTCCAGTTCCTTTTCCTTTGAAGACTGCTAAACAAGGCTGATAGACATATAGCTTGTTGCAGATGGTTGGTGAGGAAAGACAGTCAAACTTGCCAACCTATTTAACAAACAGTGCCATTTTAATTAAGGCATCCTAGTTTATATAGATTAACATATTTTGAAAGGCAGTAAGTTAGGATAGATTCATTAAAGAAAAAGGTAAAAATATGGAAAAGTACCCGCCTTTTTATAAACATCAGCGGTCTTAAGATTTTCTTGTAACTGTGGTGTTTGAGGAAAACTACCAGTACAGCTATATTAGGTTGTTTGCTAATTTTTCATTTAAAAGCCAAAACAGGGAATAAAAATTTAAAGAATCCACTTTTTTTTCCCACCTCCAAACAAAATAGCAAGGAAGCAAAAAGACACTTAATATGATATTAAAAAATTCTTCTAGCCAATGCAACAATTTTTTAAAAATACATAACTTACAGAATAACACGATCCATGTGCCTCTAGTACAAAGGCGTAATTTGGTTTCTTTTTATTAAGAAAGTTTTCTTAATTAATTATAGGATTTTCTGAGTAATTAAAATACGGTTTCACATACATCAATTTGCCCTTGAAGTGTTAACTTTTAATTGTTATCTGAATGGGATCTGCAGCAACATTTCCCAAGAGAGAGCAGATTTAAAAGGTAATATTTCCTAACTATTATTAAATTATTCAAACCGCACAGGAAAAGTCACTGCTTGCTTTACATTAAAAACTTTACTACAGATCTACCATATGATAGTATATCTCTCTCAGTAGCAAAGATGGCAGGTAGTAGTTAACAGTTAATAAGAACGAAAAAACATACTGACTTGTTCTCTGAACGTAAAATGGCATTCAACACTAGATGAGTGAGCAGTCTTACCTGAATGTGTTCATCTTTAAGTAAAAATTTAAGTTTCTTGAATTCCTGTACATTTGATTTATCACTCTCCCCAAACTGGAAGAAAAGCAGCCACCGGTGATGAGCCAGACGGTCCTTTAAACAAAGGGGAAAAAAAAAAAAAACCAAAACAAAAAACCAACACACACACCAAAAACACAGAGGACAAAAAAATTATTCCCAACTTACACCAACTTGTAAATTCCTCTTGTAAAGGCAAATGCTCAATTATTCATCTGATCTCTGAGTGACCTCCTCCACTTAAATTCTTTCACAGAATCATAGAATCATCTAGGTTGGAAAAGACCTTTAAGATCATCAAGTCCAACCATTAACCTAGCACTGCCATTCCACAACTAAACCATGTCCCTAAGCACCTCGTCTACCCATCTTTTAAATACCTCCAGGGATGGGGACTTGACCACCTCCCTGGGCAGCCCATTCCAGAGCCTGACAACCGTTTCTGTGAAGAAATTTGTCCTAGTGTCTAGCCTAAACCTGCCCTGGCGCAACTTCAGACCATTGCCCCTTGTCCTATCACCCGTTACCAGGGAGAAGAGGCTGACCCCTACCTCCCTACAGCCTCCTTTCAGGCAGTTGTAGAGGGCGATAAGGTCTCCCCTCAGCTTCCTTTTCTCCAGTCTAAACAACCCCAGTTCCCTTAGCCACTCCTCATCAGACTTGTGCTCCAGACCCCTCCCCAGCTTTGTTGCTCTCCTCTGTCCTGCTGGCCACACTATTCCTGATATAAGCCAGGATGCCATTGGCCTTCTTGGCCACCTGGGCACACTGCTGGCTCATATTCAGCCAGCTGTCAAACAGTACCCCCAGGTCTTTTTCCGCCAGGCAGCTTTCCAGCCACTCTTCCCCAAGCCTGTAGCGTTGCATGGGGTTGTTGTGACCCAAGTGGAAGACCCGGCACTTGGCCTTGTTGAACCTCATACAGTCGGTCTCGGCCCATCAATCCAGCCTGTCCAGGTCCCTCAGCAGAGCCCTCCTCCCCTTGAGCAGATCAACACTCCCACCCAGTTTGGTGTCATCTGCATCCTTCCACTAAATTTCGTTTTACTGCATTGTAAGAAGGAAAGAGGAAAAAAAAATCTGAAAACAAGCTGTCTACATGCTACCCTCTACACTTTTTGTTTCCATGTGTGTTTCCTGTTGTAGATCAAGCTGCTAAGTGCTACTCCAAGTGTGAAAAGAGGTTTCCTCTTTTTTTTTTAGCTCCAAGACATGACTAACATTTATGACTTCTAACTTCAGTTCATACATAGCTTATCATGGATTAACAAGTATTTTTTTCTTCCTTACATTACTGACCAAATAAATTTAAAATAAAATTCCCTAAAATGTAGATTTAAAAAATAACTAGAAGGTTATAATTGCAGACTAAGTTGCAATGGCAACTTCTGTGGTTTTCTATTTTCCTATTAAACACAACCCCCTCCGTTACTTTTGGTGTTTTGCTAAATAACAAAAGTAAATGTAGACAAACAATGTTAAATAATTTTGGCTGCAGGGAGGGAAGTAATTTTCAGTTAAATAAATAATACGTGGTTGTATCAACAGAATTTGAAGAATGTAAAGAGTAATGATAAAAATGTGAAAATTCATTATTTAAAGAAATCTTAACATATTTGTAAAAATTTACCTCTAATGAAGCTGCAGAGATAACTTCAAAGTCTGGCAGATGCTGCATTACTTCCTGATATATTTCTCTGGCATCCAAAGAGTTAAGAAACTAGGAGGGAAAGTTGACTCTGTTTATAATTAGGAATTACAAATATCAACCTGATTGTTGATGAGTAGTACTCATCGTCAGTGAACTTATTCTTTTGTTCCTTTCCATCAACTGAAGAGTACAGTTAATAATATGTTGTTTGATCAACTTCTTTTTCATATCTATAGTTTCACAAATATCGCTCTCAGAATACTGCTTTTTAACTTGTCTTCCAAAAGTATTAAACTCAAGATACCGTATTTTGTCAAAAAGGGTGCTAAAAGTCTCAAATTAAAATTTCAAACCAAAATTTCCAGTCAAGCTTACAAGTTTTCCAATCTAGTTTTACAGCTTTCCTTAGCTGCACTGTACAGATATTTAAATTTCAGTAATTTCTTCAATTTAGGACACAATATGAATTGATAACTCAGAGCTGATTAAGTTACAAGGTTGAAAGTAAGTAGGTTACAAATTTAATTTCCTCCTTTTAAAGATACGGGTAACAGTGGTGACAAGAAAGGAACAAGCCGTGCTTCAAACTGAGAAATGTCTCCCATCAATTAAGGAAGTTAAAACTACCATACAAATGTAGGAGGAGGTTGCAATATTAGAGCATGGCTGAACTATGTTGTCCGTCAGTACGGATAATGCTGGAGTACTTTTATCACACATGTTGGTACTCTGTTCAGAGTAGCATTTCTCAAACTTGTGATACCTGGTGCATACTCCTTCTGGAATAAAAATTGGGGGTGCATGGCAAATCACCCAAGCTTGCCCACGATAGCTGGGCAGCAGCTTCAGAACTAGCTCTTGGGCCTGTCACAGAGCACATTCCACCCCTGGATTCCCACAGCTGCTTGGGAAGGCTCCTGAGGAGGTGGTTAGGCAGAGCTACAGGCTGCTGCTACTGCAGCGTGCTCCTGTTCACTCTCCCAGCATACCAGCAAACTGGGGACCACCTCCAGGCATCACTGCCTTAGAAGTCAGGAGGGATATAAACTCATACCAGGGCATACAAGCTTAGAAGAAAAAAGACAAAGTATCTTTTCAATTCTATATAATCAATCTAGAAATTATTTATACATTCCTTTGTCACTGCCATCACCTTATTTTATCTAAATACAGAATGGTTGAGAAACAACTCGTACCAAAACACCTCCTTTCTCTTTGTTATTTATGGTGGCTCCAGGTGGAAAGTATGCTGTAGTACTAGATGAGATATCTAAATTATCACAAAGCTCACCCTGGGTGCCACAGTCCATCCAGCCTACATTAACAAGACCTTCCTGTAATTAGAAAAAAAAAACACCAAACAACAAACACAACAACCAACAACACAAACCAACAAAAACACACAGAAGAACAGTATTTTTTAATTTCAGGTTCAGAAATGCTTTTGAAAATCCCAATGCAAACAATTATATAAAATATTTAGAAAATGGAAGGAGACCACATAGTAATTCATTGGTTAATACTCATTCATATTTTATAAAATTCTTTAAAAATTCTATGTTATTCCAATAGCTACCAAGTCAAAATATTTCACTCTTCTGAAAGTTAATGTGTGAAATCTTGGTGCTACTAAACTCAGTGAGAGTTTTGGCTACAACTTCATGCTTTCACTTGTTTTGTTTTAACTATAACAGGTAATGCTTTGAAAGCGAAACACTGCTTACCAACATGCCAGCTAGCTTAAGGCGTGTTTGGTAACTCAAGCAATCTGCAAAATAGAAATGATTTATTTACAAACATAACATTTCAAAGTATTAATGCACTAAACCTACTCTTGTTTAGAATTACCCCTTTCCTCCCTACACAGGTGACCATTTCAAAAGGCATGCTTCCTGGCTAGTTGTCTGGTATGTCAGTGACAGCACTTGATAATTGTCTACTCTTAGTTAAAAATAACATGAATAACATTCTCTTGCTTCAGCAACACAGAATTCTTGTTTAAAAAAAATTTAATACTTTATTTGCTATACTAAGACTGACCTTTAAGATTTCTTCTTAACCAATGTTTAAAAAAAACCAAAGCCAAAAGGTATCTACATATTGTCTTGGAATGAGGTTCCAATGGAAATACCAATTTTCTGTGATTCAAGTAATAACTCACTGTAATAAATACATCATATGCTCTAATTATCCATCCTGACTTTGAATAGTTACCTTCAGATGCAGATTTTTTTCTGAAATAACCTCACTTTAATTACACCAAAGTTGAAAACTTAATAAAAAAAGGACTGTAACTTGAAATCAAGCTATTTACAAATGTAAATCCAAGACTGCAGCTCCTGTTATTCAGTTCACAGATCAAAGGTCTCTTCACAAGACCGAGAAATCTTTATTTGTCAAAGGTGTAGTGCATTTACTTAGCTCTACCAACCAGCCAAGGCAACTTTCTCATATACCATATCCAGTGCTGATCCCAAGAAAGTCAGTGACAAACAGCTACAAAAAATAATGCAAACCTAAACTCTGTCATGACATCAGTGGTAAGAGCCAATTATTATGTCCAAACCTAGCTTAAAGAGAAAATATTCAGCTAATCTTTGAGTATTGGTGGTTTAATGGGGAGATACAAACTTTCTTCTACTCAGCTACCATGGCAAACAGGTGTGCAGCTATGCAATACCTGTCATTTGAGCCTGAGCTGGAAACTGAAGTCAGAGGCCAGTTCCCTTCCCAAGGGGTTACACTTGAGTGCTGCTGTAATGACTCACGTGACATTACAGAAGCATAACCTTTCTGTTAATGTCCCATTTGTCAAACTGCCTCCAAAATGGAGCTTAAATGACCCACAGCTCAAATACTGTGATCATCTCAGATGTTTTCCAACTTTTTATTAGGAGCAAAAGGGATTATGTCACTATCAGCAAAACTACTTATTTTTCCTGGTTGCCTCATTGGAGAAGTTTTTAATGCACCTACCCCCGCGTTCAGCACAGAAGGTGATCAGCCAACCAACACCAGAAGCAAATGAAGTTTCAATGGCATTAACAAAGTTTCCTAAGAGTGAAACAATTTGCATCAGTTTCTGACTTGTTAAACATGACTATGAAACAAGGTTTTCTATTTATATAAGCAAAATACAATGAACTATTTTTCATGTCAAAAATAACACTTAGCAACAGTTGGCAGATTCAGTTGTATACATAGTTTCTGCCATATTTTATATTGTAAGAGCAATTTCAGGAACAACACCCCAAGCAAAATATGTGAACGTTACCTGCCCATAACTCGGTGACTGTGCTTGTAACATACTGCATGGCAAAGTTCTTCAAGCTCTCTTTTGACCTGTCTCCATAATATTTCACTGGTTGCTATAGGAGACAAAGAATAAAGTTTTTGAAGTTAAAAAAAGAGAAAAAAATACCCCCAAACCTATTTTTTTTTTGTTATAACAGTACTTACGCAACTGTGGGACTCCCCCACACCTGCCCCAAACTTGAGCTCTAACAGTTCTCTCCCTCCCATATTGGAATGTTTGAATTTAAATTTTATTTAAATTTTGTAATGTGATTTCTTTCCAAGTCCAGCAACATAAGGATAATTTAGTCTTAGAAACACCACTCACAATGATTATATTTCTATTTAAATAAAAATTGCTTGCATCAGTCCATTTAGTGTATGCACAATCTCCACATTCAACCTCTCAAATCTTGTCATTGTCAAAATGTACCCGACTATTCAAGTGCAATTTGTACACCACCCCTGGCACCACTACTTAGCAAGCAGCCATAAAGCGTGATGTACATAATGCAGCTAGCATGGAGGAAATCTCGTGGAAGGAATTTCCAAGTTTCTGTAGATACATGGTCATATTCTAAGCCACAGATGATTCTCTGTATTTGAAAAGTCCAATACAGTACTATAAGAGAAACTGTCCAAGCAGACATGTTGCTTTGCTATAGCACCACTGCTGACAGTAGCTTCCCAAATCAGAAGTGATATGTTGCATAGAAAAATGATTCAAAAAAACCCAACCACCCCAGTATAAACTAGATACCTATTTTTGAAGCTACTTCCTAAATTAATTTAACCAAGGTAAAGTAAGAGAAAAAATAATTTATTAAAAGGAAGTAATAGATTAAAAGGAATTTTTAAATATACATATAAATATATATTTTTATATAAAGAAATATATATATAATCTTTATATATAAAGATCTATGATTGAACAAGTATTAAAGAAATACTCTTCTAGATTTCAGTCTTTCTAAAAACACTTGAAGTTTTATCACTCACCATTCCAGTTTTGAAAACATACAGACTGGGGTAACTGTTAATCCCTTTAATTCGACAAAGCATTCTATTATCTCCACAGTTGACAGCTCCAATGCGTATTACTCCATCCATCTCCTTAGCAAACTCCCTCCACTAGAAAAAAGGGAAATATATAATAAAATATATATTAATATAAAAAATAATATGTCTACAAAGATATAATGAAAAAATCAGCACGTTTTATTCCTGGCATCTTGAATTGTTGTCTTTGGTTTCAGCTTAGGTGTAAAAATCCACTTCATTAAGTTTTATGCTGTTAAAACCAATGAATTTTCAGAGTTAATTTGCTCATTATACATACCGTAGGTGCTAAGTCATGGCAGTGGGAGCATCGAGGAGAATAAAAATTCACAAACCACAGTTCTCCTGAGTTAACAGCAGCATCTAGATGGAGAGAAAGCTGTAAAGTAAGTAATGCACATCTACAATGTAGTTATATCTAGAATGTACATATTTACTATATTGTTTTCGCCAAGAGCTGAATGAAGTACTTATACATCACACAGTTGGTAACAGTAGCTCAGATGGGATAAAGATTGCATCTCACTTGCACATACTTGCTGTTGTAGGCAAGTGTGCAAAAATCGTATTTCAGAGAATATCGGCACCCTGACTTTCAACATCTGTTCTACTAATGAAGAATAAATTTACTCTCTACAGATTAACCTAGCTGAAGTGTGTGATAGTCTAAGTCTAGTTACCTTAAAAAAAAAATAAAAGTTCTAAAAGATTTTTACCCACTAGAACTTCCCGTTTCCTTATATCACTTCACGTATTTTCTGGGTTCCACCAGGCAACCTTTTTGTGTAGAATCCCTGTCTAATAGTGAATTTTATAAGTTATATTTGCCTATATTAAAATATCCTCACAAACAAGCCAACTAAGGAGTGTGTAGATTCTGCAAATCAATTAACCAAAGCAAGACCAGGTTCTCATGGAAAGCATCATGAGGTTCTGCTGTTGGAACAGTTTACAAAACTGGTTCAGCATGTAGATCCAGTCCACACAAAGGAAACTGTACTCAAAATGCAGATGAAAAAAAATCACACAAAATCCAATTATTTTTTCTCTCTAGTGTCTTTTAGTTATAAACACCTTAGCTATAATTTTAAAAGAAAAAAACTGGATGAAGTCCTTACTGAAAGCGTTATCTTTCCAGACCTTGTTTTACTTAGCTGTGTTCTTAGTATCTGGTATCCCCTTCTGGGCTTGAACCTCTTGTGCAAGGCACAATTGACTTGATTTCACAGGAAAAAAAGTAATAGAAATATAATAGAAAAGCTCTATGACGTGCATTTTTAGACAAGAGACCAAAAAAATAGTAATGATAACTTAGGAGAAACAAAATTTTAATTAAAATAATTTCCTCTTACAGATCTCACAAGGTATCTTTCAAACTTAATCAAAACTGTTTACTGATATTGATCTGTTTGCTATCTAGCATTTACCAGGAAGCATTAAGGGTTTGGATTTTTTTTTTTGTTTTCTCATCTGAAGATTATTTTCTGATAGTTTTTTGTATAGATATGAAATAGAAGTCTACAGATATACAGCTCAGAATGCAAAAATTGTTTCTTTGGGTTGCATATCGTCCAACATAGTTATTTAAAACTTACCAAATTCTCCTCTATCCAAGGTTATAATTTCAGGATCATCATCATAAATACCTATTAAAAAACCCCAACAATTACTTTTTATTTTTGCCATTTTTAATATGAAACAAACTGCCATCTTATTCACAAGACAGAAAACAGAAGACAGTACACTTAAATTAAAATAGCAAGCTGGCAAATATAGTTTTTACAACAAAGCTATATTTGTTTAGTAATACGTAACCTTAGTTTAATCTCTTGCAAACTCCCATGCCCTTATGCTACAAAAGTCACCATCAGAATAGAAAAGTTCTTTTGATGTTTTGCTAGACCAGCTACCAAGTGAGTGAGCAGAGAACTTGACCTATGACTGTTACAGCAAGAGTATTAGAAATAACATCAACCAGTTGTCAGATTAAAATCCAAGAAGCTTCAGCTCTCAGCGAGAGAGCTATACATAACTTCTGGAAGCTTTCACTTCTCTTAGCCTCTGGTTATCTAAACTATTTAGATCACAAAGGTGTTTCAGCCACAAGCTTTTCCACTAACACAATGTGGGAACGCAGTGGAATAAAGTAGACAGAATAAAGGTAAGGAGACAGCTTTTCTAAAATGCTAACCAATCCTACCTAGAACATCACTACAAAAGAGCCTACTACTTCAAGTACGCAAGAAAGGCACGGCAGAGATACCAAAAATACTACTAGACAGCATTATATTATGCTACTATGGCTACAGATTTTTTACAGTACCTAACATGGTGAGATGCCATTTCACCTGAGGTATACAAGGATTAAATGCAAATAAACAACGAGAGAAAATAATTTCTAGAGGTGACAAGGGACTTTTTATATTACTATCCATTTATATATCATGTAATATAATACATACACTCACCCATACATACATATATCTGTATTATATATGTATATACATATAAAAATATAGATAGTCTCCAAATGAGTGGTAAATAGACATTCAAGGATATAATTTGTCAGTCAAGCAGTGCAACTTCAGACAGATAAAATGTCTTAAATCTGTTTATCTGAAGAAGTTTTAGGGCAATTTCCATATTTTCCTGTGATAGTTGTACCTCTGATTTATTCAATTTCAATTTGCACAGACATTAATTTTTTAGAGATTGGGACATATTAAATCAAACTACACCAGAAAAAAGTTTTGCCAAGGTGGAGATTCATTTCAGCTTTTTCTTTCATATCAATGAAACCATGTTCCTCAGCTCCCTATTTTAGCTAACTCCTGTTACAACAGCTCTGAGAACAGTTCATCCCAGCCCTTCCCTATAACTACCTAAAATTTGTTGAGATAAATATTAAATAATTTTTCTCAAGATCATTTTAGGTATGAGTCTGTTGGGTGTTTTTTTTTGTTTTGTTTTCTACTACCTCTTTTCTGATCTCTAATTGTATAACTGCATATAAAATAGGCTTGACAGTGCAAAAATCTCCTCTCAAAAATCCACTTCAGAACACTTTATCTAAACAAAAAAAGGTCTTCCTGCATTAAAGAGTTAAAAATATGAAACAGTAACACTGGAATTTAAGGGGGGAAAAAATAAAGCTTTTGCAGTTTAAAAAAAACAAACAAGAAGTTAGATGACCAATAAAAAGGTAAGCAGCAAGAACAAAAGGCTAGGCAAATAGATTATTACTTTTTTTTTTTTTTGTATTTTTGGGTAGCCATTAACAAGGTAAATAAAAGGCTGGGTCAACAGAGATACAACAGGTACAGGAGAACAATAGAGCAGGCAGAAATGTGGAGACGATACATCAGAAATGTTTAAAAAGATCTGATATAGATCTCAATATTGCATTTACTTGTGACTGTTTTAAGCAAATCACAAACATACATCATAACTTACCAAAATCATAGCGATAAAAGTGCCAGCTTTCATAACGACCTCCTTGCTGCTGATCTTCAAGACCTTTCTCTCCATATTTATCATACTTCTTCCGTAGATCTTCATCTTTAAGTACTTCATAGGCTCTATTTATTTTCAAAAAATTTTCATGTGCATTTGGATCATTCTGTTTAAGGAAAACTATAATTAGTAAGTAATTAATAAACCATATTATACATACAAAGCTGAGAAAATAACCTTTCAAAATATTTTTATATCCCTACAGAAGATGTCAGTTGTGATGGAAGTAGACATTGCACAGTGATCTCCAAACAAACTACAATAAAGTTTTCCTTCCCTGAAGCCGGATGCATCTTTTGCTCTTTTCTTCATCCTCACTGAAGTACCAACTGAAATAGAAAGCAAACTGGTACGAGGCTGTAACATTCCCCTCTTTCAGCTCTCTTTCTTCAACAGAAGGAAAAAAAATAACTACTCAAGAATAGAAACTGACTATTTCGTCTATAATCTTTTCTACTCCCCTAGAATCCCCACTTGTCCAGTTTGAAAATCTCCGCTATAAAGACAGATTCATCCCTTCTGATCTTATGGTGTAGACAGAGAGCCCCTATTTTATTTAAAAAGCATTCTAGTTGTATGTAGCTTTGGAATTAGAATGGTGCAAAATCTGCAGACATACTTTGCACCCCAGTTTCCGTACTGAGCTGGTGCAATTTAACAGTGCAAACTGTTAAACAGAGCAAACAGAGCAAAATTCTCTCTCCTACCCTTTTAACTTCTGCTTACATGTTTCATTTAAAAGACACCTTTTCTTAGAGATTCTTGACTTATTTACCTAGATATGCATGAAATGAGTTACCATTATGGAATTTGTGTAACGGCACCATCTTCTATAGATCATCTTTAATGTTGAAAATAACCTATTGAAAAATCTTTAGTAGTATTTTAGTAGTATTTACGTACTTGGAAACTATAGAATCTGACCCACAATGTTATTATTTTGAAAGATATCAACACAAGGAAAACAAACTTGCAGTTATTAGCTACGAGTTGGCATTTCCAGCTTGTTGGGATCTGGCTTTCTCTTTGAGCTTTGTCATGTACAAATCCATTGTAAAACATGAGCACCTCAGAGGCTTCAACGTACTCTGTGCAGGTGGGCCCCGAGCTCATATGGTACATCACTGTCTTCTGGGGCTCTGTGGAGGTGTAGTTGCACATATAAAGATCCAAACCCTCATATTTCCTGTGAATTTCTGGTATTTCCTGTGAATTTCTGATTATTTCAGCAAAGCTTGAGGAAAAGCTGATCATGTTTGTATTTAAAAACAATTTCTTTGTAATTCGGAAAATATGGTAGCACAGACAGACTTCTGGTTCCCAGTCTTCTCTCTCTAGTTAGTCTAGAATTCCTTATTCCCTCCCTCACTATGTCTTGGCAGTCCCAGAATTTCTGCTTTGTCCTGTTTGATCCTTGGAGGCTGATGTCTCAGTACAGGTGGCGGTGCTTGCTGTTTAGGTGAGACTTCATGTTAGGGAAACCATAAGTTCCCCTAAGCTAAATGGAATGAGACAAACTCATCAGTTTACCAACACGGTAATATGGCACAGACATTAAGTTTTCCTCCATTTACAAAAATATAATTGAGAATGATCTTGCCTCTTTTTTTACTACAGCAATTTACTATGGCCCAAATTCAACACAACCATGTATGACCAGTAAATTTTCTCTGCAGAAAATCTGAGCTGAACCATGTTATCAGGTGGTTACATGACCTCAGAAGAACAGAGAAAAATTTTAGATAAATTAAAGCTACTTTTTGTTTAAACGTTAAGATTCATTAACTCCACAACTTTGACCTGGTAAAGACGTAACTTACCTGATTTTTATCAGGGTGCAACTTTAATGCCAGTTTTTTGAATGCTTGTCGTATTTCTCTGCTACTTGCTTCTTTGGATACTCCAAGTAAACTATAGTAGTCCTGATCAGTGCACACAAGAACTATTATACATACTAAAACTAGCACTAAAGATCTTTTCAAATATCTGGTATTTTCTGCTTTGGATAGTAAGAACGCCATTATGAAGCTTTTGGAAAGTTCACAGGTTCTGATTCGAGCAGGCTTTGGGAAGAGTCTCCAGTAAATCCACCAACGTTCAGAGATACAGCCGTATTTATGATGGAGCTCTTCAAAATGCTGGTTGTCCTACTTCATGTCACAAGTCTTGCAAAAGTTACAATCTATAAGAAGAGGGGAGAAAAAAGCGATTAAGTACATTTTCCTAATGTATTCAGTAAATACACGTTAGTAAAGAACCCCATTACCAGCTTGTGCAGACTGCACATGAAGTTTCTTGACGGTTAATTGCCTGTTTTCTGGCGACCACGCAAGTGACAGCCCATCTCTTGATTCCGTGTATTGTGAACGGGGTAATCGTGCAAGGCGTTACCGAACAACACGAAACACCCTCCACTTGTATCACATGAAAGAAAAGCGGGTTTAATACGGCTCACTTTTCTTCAAACTTACTTTTAGTGCCGCAGGGGCACATTTCTTCTGAAAGGACCGGTAGCTTTGAGCCTGCAGCCGCCCCGGGGGTGGGCGAGGTTCCGGGGGAAAGGCTCGTCCAGGAGGCGGCGGACGCCCCTCGCCCATAAAGCCGGGCAGACCCCGGGGGCCGCCCGCGCTCGGCCCGA